TACCAACAACGAAAGGTCAGATCATTGTCCTGATCATTACCATACCAGCCAAATCGGGGAAAAGGACAAATATCTCTTGATCTGAAGAGGCACGTAAAAAACAACAGCATATTTACAGAAACACGACCATTCTGCTCATATTTGATGGACAGCGTGCAATTGATGGCCAGCGGCCACTCAAATGGTCGGGCTAGGTCAAAAAGCTTTAAAAGAGCTCATCATCAGTTTTTCGACTATTACTTTTGATATAGGAGACGAGGTAGAGTAATGAAATTGTCTTGAAGGTGTTAATCATCTATACGGATCAGTTGATGACCATCATGAACTTGTCAATAACCTAACCTAACCTAACCTAACCTAACCTAACCTAACCTAACCTAACCTAACCTAACGATCTGCGGTCACATTTAGAAGTTGAACTTTTTATGTGAAATTATAGGTTAACATTCGATGCATGTTAACAAGAGAATGATGACAAAGTAAATGTCTCATATTTTTTCTCACCAAAGTTCTTGCAAAAATTCTTAGCAAAACTATTTTGGTAAAATGCGACTATTTAGATGGTTTTGCCCTCTGCTCTGTTGCCAAACCATTGGCATGAGGCATTGAGGTCAAATCTTAAAAGCGAAAGCGTTTTGAAAGGCCTATCGAATGAGTTGTTTCGCGAAGCTCTTAGCTCTTTGGTTCACGAGTTATACGATTATTTGTGAAAATATAAAAACATGAATTTTTTCGTCGTAATCTTGTCTTTGTGTTTATCATAATTTCATCATAATTTCATCTTTAATGACCTCAGCAATGACATAATCGAAAAATGACCTCTGGCTCTACGATTCTGAAACATCCTACAGCTATCTGTTGCTTTTCTCGTCTTTCTAGCCTTCTTAACCCGCGCGGGGCTGGGGGGGGTAAATTTTACCCCCCCTCGCGAATTTTTGCGATATCTCAAAAACGGCGGCGCGCAGCGCCGCCAAACTTTCAGTACCTTTTCTTACATCAATTTGACACGTTCCCTGAAAATTTTAGCGAAATCCGTCGGAAAATTTTTGAGAAATTGACGTTTTAGTGACGTCATGTTCGCCATTTTCGCCTCAAAAACGGCAAAAGTTCAAACGCCGCTAACATCTTCATTTTTAAAGGAATCAAGACGTAACAAAAAAGGTTATACGTAATTTTACTTTGTCTATCAAATGGCTATCTCGGTTTTTTGAAAATTTTGGATTTTGGCCTAAATTTTTTCAAAAAACTGCATTTTTTGGGAAAATCATTATAAAATCCAAAATTTTGAGTCTATCGAAAAAACCGGAATATATGTCAGAGAAGTGGTCTATGTGCACCTACATACCAAATTTTAGAAGAATCGGTTCAAAAATGTGGGAGTTATTCAAAATTTTATGACGTCACGACACACAATTTTTTTGAAAAATGACTTTTTCGGAAGTTCTAGACCTCGTACGGAAACAAAAATAGCACCATTCGATTCGCCGTGAAAAACTGCATCAGATAGACACCTTTTAAGGCCTTAACAACCAACTTCAAAATTTGACCTCACTTGACCTGACCTTGACCTGACCTCGACCTGAAATTCATCCAGAGGTGGTCCATATCACTTATTGAGTGTGCCTATTGAATTCTATGAGTAAAATGACCCATAAAACATGTGTCGCACATGCCCTTTTCTATATTTTGTTTTTTGGTGACCTGACCTGACCTGACCTGACCTTGACCTTGACCTCTGAATGATATTGTATGCAACGAATATTGTTTTGGTAGCCTAAGAACACGTTTTGGGCGATCAGTCTCAGTCCATGACTCCATTCTTCGGCAACTACGGTGCAAGGCCGATACTGTAGAAACTTGCAATTTGTACCCTTGACCTGACCTTGACCTTGACCTCAAACTTTAAATTAAGTACATGTTTTTAGTAGTTCGTGATGAGAGCTTTCGATTGGCGTTTGAATTTTCCAAATCGGACCATTAGTTCGGGAGATAACAGGGGGGGTAAAATTTACCCCCCCCCCCCAGCCCCGCGCGTTCGGCTGGAGACCCCAGCCCCGCGCGGGTTAAATTATGATCGGGTTTGGCCGATACGCCCCCCCCCCATGGCTGATTGCACGTGTTAGAGAGCTATCGAACCCACTTTCAGCGCTTTAGCTTATATATGTCCTCGAGTGTCGAAATAGGCGAAACTTCTCCTTCGATGAACATGATGACGTGGGCTTTGGTGTGAACTGCAACATGACTGAAGTAATTTCTCCATGATTTTCGACGCTCTTTAGAAAGCCGCCTACCGCCGCACTTGTCGCTACGTGACCCTGGAGTCAGGTTAGAAGGGAATATTCAAACACCCCTCAGGGGCGTAAAACTGGAAAACCTGGGGCGCTGCTCTGCGGGGCGCTGTCGAGCTAGTCTAGAGCCAGTTCGGGATGTTTACAAGCCCACGTAAAGCCATCAAGAATCTGCATAGAGCACAGACCTTCCAAGACTTGGAGGTTTAGATATCAACAATCGACATGGTCTTTTGAGACCTGCGTGGTGGCTATCAGAGGTTGGTGGGCCCCTCAAAAGCCGGTGCAGGAGCCTCAGGTCACAGGTGTCAGTTTGGAGCCATCATGGACCGGTGTGGACCGGTGTGGACCCTCCCACACATAGGATAGGATGATCCTTTCATTCCTGGGATGAGTCTTCTCAGGCTTGAACTGGGCCCTCTCAGACCTGAAATGGGCCCCTCTCAGGCCTGAAGTGGACCCTCTCAGACCTCAACTAGGTCCTCTAGGGCCTGAAATGGGCCCTCTCAGGCCTAACATTAGCCCTCTCAGACCTGAAGTGGGCCCCTCTCAGGCTCTCAGGCCTCAAATAGGACCTCAAGGACCTGAAATGGGTCCTCTCAGGCCTGACATTAGCCCTCTCTGACCTGAAATGGGCCCCCTCAGCCCGGAAATGGTCCCTATCATGTCGAAAAAGGGCTCCCTCATACCGTAACTGGGCCCTCTCAGGTCTGAAATGGTGCCTCTTATGCCTGAAATGGGCCCCTCTCAGGCCTCAAACGGGCCCTCTCTGGCCTCAAACGGGCCCTCTCTGGCCTCAAACAGGCCCTCTAGGGCATGCCCTCTCAAGCTTGAAATGGGCCCCCTCAGGCCTGAAATGGCCCCTCTGAGACCTGAAATGGGCCCTATCAGGCCTCAAACATGCCCTCTAGGGCCTGAAATGGACCCCCTCAAGCCTGAAATGGGCCCTCACAGGCATCAAATGGGCCCTCTTAGACCTGAAATGGGCCCCTCTCAAGCCTCAAACAGGCCCTCTAGGGCCTGAAATGGGCCCTCTCAAGCTTCAACTGGGCCCCTTCAGGCCTGAAATGGGCCCTCACAGACCTGAAATGGGCCCACTCAGGCCTGAAATGGCCCTCTCATGCCATGGAACGGGCCCTCCTAGGCCTTGGATTAGTTCAATCGGGCCTTGGATGTACCCCCTTAAATAATAAAATGGGACTAAAAATCCTAAAGGGGGGGGGGCTATCATGCCTGAAGACTGTTTTTCAGTCCTATGACGGACCTTGACATTAGTGATAAAAAATTGTCAGGCTGCATAACGTTACAGTTCGAATCGACGGTGGGCCCCTAGGATGAGAGACGGGGGTGAGATCTCACCCCTTTCACCCCCCCTGGCTGCGCCACTGCATATACACATACGCAGAGGCATACGGGCACGCACACACACAGTTTCACACGTATGTATGCGTACATAAACCCGGATTTTCATCATTGTGCAATGTGCGTGGGATCTGAGCATCACTGAGCATCGAAGAAGGTAATATTGCTACGTTGCTTACACATATTTCCCATTTTGCATTCGGAGACTACAACGCTGCACTATCATATAACACCAAAATGCAAATAAAACTTCAGAGCACTAGCGGCAACCTTGTTTACCAGTAGTTTACTCTATAAATTGGTGTGTGAGGTTCAAATGAACCAAGGAACGGGATCCCGGTGTATCCTAAGTGAATTGGAAAACTTAGTGAAATTTGGGACACCCTAATGTATATATGTATCTTTGCATTTGAACATCATATCAGTTGTGTTTTGAGCTTGCTGCACTGTTTATCATTGATAAACAGATTGAGCTGGCTGAAGACATGTTGGCCCATACTACAACAACCTGCCGGTCAGATCCTCTATGCTCTCCTTGACCTAGGTGACATCTAGTCAGGTTTCGGACACTGGGCTGGTGTGGGATGGCCAGACACGGTCTGGCCTGCCGTACTCCACCGGTCTGAACGGCCTGAACGAACGCTAAGGAGACGGTAAAGAAACAGACCCTCGGTCGATGTCGAACAGTCTAGGAGACTGTTTCAGTCGCATCGAAAAGTGATATGTATCGAAAGTCATTTATTTACGACCATTCCAACGTTCTACTAAACATGAGATCGTCGCAGATTTGCCCGAATTTTTTTCCTCGTCCATGCCGTCAGAGTTGTGCTATAAGAGTTATGCGGCAAGAGTGCCAGTTTCAGGCATAGCAACGCAAAGGTAAGTTCATATTGGTCACTTTTAGTTCAGGTAGTCTCGGAAGCTACACAGACGGCAGCCCAGAAACTTGTTCAGGGCTTCGCGGAGCCAAACTGTGGTCGCCATTAATGTTTCTCGTATTGGATAGGTATTAGAGATGTCAATCGGATACCAACTTTTTGGTATACCGATACCAAACCGATACCAACTTGGGTAAAAGAGGCTGTGAATTCGGTAAAAAGTTGGCATTTCCCTCAGTTTCTGAAGTTGGTTTGGTTTTGGTATTTTCCTATGGTTATTGTTGGTATTTGGTTTGGTATCGGTATCACGATTTTCTATAACTGACATCACTAATAGGTATCGTAACTGTGAGCTGGTCTGCTGTATTCCCGGGGTTCTCCCCTCCATCCGTAAGTTATGACCTATGGTGATCACCTCGAAACGCTGGATGATGGTGACGGCCCATTGGTAATCAGTAACTCTAAAACAAGGTTCAGGATGTGTAACTTGTATATTATATTCTGCGAATGTAACGCTTATGCGAAAGACTGCTTAAACCAACGAGCCCACAATCCATTCTCAGCTATTAATGCATGTGAATGACGGTGTAGTCATACCGCTTACAAACTGATGAACTATGACAGCATAGGCGATACCCGATGAATGAAACGGTGCGGGTAATAGTGCAAAGATGAAATTGTACATAACCTCACAAAGCATGAAAAAGGACATCAACGAACACGAGCCTAGTTTAAAACAGAAACAGCCTGTGTTTTTCCAATCTGCGTTTATGCCACGGATTGTCGTGGGCCAGAAAATCGGCGGCAGCTGTCGGCTCGCCACAACAAAAAGCCAGTTATGGAGCCTCGATTGTTTGGAGGTGGTCTTGTGTAGCTGATTCTTCCCGGAGCCACGATAGCTTGGAGGTGGTCCTTTGTAGCTGATTGTTCCCGTTAGCGCGTGCCGTGTTCGCCGCCGTCCCTAGGTCGTGCCGAACTGCGCCGGTGGGCCGGATGCGCCGGGGCGTCGCCGCCCCTTCCACGAGCCATGCAAGTTCTCGTACAGGTTAGAGAAGGGCTTCTGTGCACGTCGATGGGCTCTACCGGTGCTGGAGACGGAGGGAGCGGGAGGATCCACCGGCGGCGCCGGGCGCGCGTAGATACTGCAAACAGAAATACGATGGTAAGTAAATCCGATGGTGATCAGTCATCAAGTTCAATGGGCGCCCTGAACGACATTGTCGTACACTCTGCGGTATCGCTGTATCTGTTTTCAAGATTATTGATAATGTTAAAGGGACTATCCCACCTTTAACATGGGGTTTGAGTTGAGATAGCCAAGTTTGCGGCGAGGTTCAGAAACCACTATCTATCTAGGTTGCAACCCCCGCGGCCTCTTGGTGTTGAAGAAATTCGTTCCCTTCATTTGAAAATGGGCCTTGTGCAAGGCCCTATCTTCAACATGGAGCGACCGTTAGTGTGACGTCACCTCGTTTAGTCATTCTGATTTAAAGGGACCCTCCCACCTTAACATTAGTTTTGAGTTGAGATAGCCAAGTTTGCGGCCAGGCTCAGAAACCACCATTTATCCTGGTCGCAACCCCCGCAGCTTTATGGTGTTCAAGAAATTTCTTCCCTTTACTTGCAGGGTGGGACCAGCGTGGTCCCTATCTCTTAACCATTACGGGAATCTGATGACGTCATCAGGCTTTCGAACGTCCGTTAAATGTTTGACTAAAACGTTTTGTAGCACGCGGTGGTATATGCTGCTTTGCGCGCAACAAATGCCGCACTTTCAAATAAAGTCGCTAGGAACAGCGGAGATCCCAAAAAGTAAACAAAAGTAAAAGTCTAATATCTTGAAAACCGGTGAATATTTTTCGATGAAATTTGGTACATATTCGTTTTTGCTCTTTCTGAACCGAGCGACATCACTTTCATGCCAATTCATTAACTTTTTTGAAGGTGGGAGGGTCCCTTTAAATGGGTTTGTTCGTTGAAAAATCGCTTAAAACTTGGTCTGAACTTTGTTGTGGTGCCTACAGAGTAAAAAGAATCAGCTTTATGACAGTAATGTGGCCTGGGGAAGGAGGTAATTTTGGGCTGTGACGTCACATATTTGAAAGTTTGTGTTTGGAATATGGGAAGCCTAAGATGTTTTATGAAAAATAAATGCCAGAAGCGTGTTCCTGGTCATCCAATCTATAAAGTCGGGCACAATTTATCTGGTTTTAACAACATTTTAGAAGGTGGGATAGTCCCTTTAAGGCGCTCAGTTTTTTATTGTTCTGGCTGTGTATTTTCTCAACCTTTTTTAAGTTATTTTTAATTGCGAATGCTGATAGTCATTATGTTACGAACGCCCCTAAACCTCAATTATGATCGTGTCGCGGATCGACTGTAGACCGGCGTGTCACTACCCCCTGGCACCGTGACCGCACACATCACACAGGGAAGTTTCCTCACGCGCCTGTCAGCACCCACCTGCCCTCGCGTGCCACGGTGCTCCAGAGCCCGGCACCGCCGCGCCACAGCAGGCTGACGCGTTCTCGGTACTGGTGGAACGTGTGCTGCGCGGTCGTCGGCTCCACCTCCAACTCTGACGGAGCATCCGGCGCCACCTCCACAACACTCTTCTGCTTTACGGTCCGTTTTGAGCTGACCCGGCTGTGCGGGCGCCGGCGGCGACACTGGCAGAGGTGGAGGGTGAGCAGGCCCACCAGGAAGCCGGCAGTGAGTGCCACCGCCGCGGCCACCAAGACGGCCGGGTCGGTCCACCACGGAGCCAGCTCGACGAGCTGCAGCAGCCGGGCGGAGCGCACCAGGCAGCTGGAGCGGCCGACCGCCAGCCGCAGGTCGCCGCAGACGCCCCCGTCGCTGCCCTCCCCGCCGCAGCCGGCCACCAGCGGCAGACCCTGTCGGCAGCGACGCAGCGGCTCTTGTAACGCCTCCACCGCCTCGCCCGGTAGGCGGTTGTCAGTGAATTTGCGTACGTGCAGTCGCTGCTGCGGACACTGGACGCGACACGCGGGCGAGCCGAGACGGAGCGCCGCCTCCGGTGGTGGTCCGATCGGCTGCAGATGGCTGCCGCTTATGTGCACAATGTCCGAGCACACGCTGCAGAAGGCGCCGGCCGACAGTCTGTCGATGTGGGTCTCGCTGATGGCGAGCCGCACGCGGAATGCCAGTCGGATGCCGGCCGGAGCCAGCGCTCCGATGGCGCAGCGCTCCACGGTGAGCGAGCCGTGCGCCACCTCCATGACAATGCCGTCCGGCAGCAGCGAGTCGATGGTGGTGTCGGTGAGCCGCACGGCCGTCTCCTCCGCGCCGCGCCGGCAGCTCTCCGACTCCCGGCGGCGCTCCACGCTGATGCCGCCCCCGTCCAGCTGGCCGATGGTGCTGTTGGTGACCGTGACGCCACTCCACTGCACATGCTGGCAGCTCCGCCACCGAGCGACTCGAGTGTTGATGACGTCCAGCTTCCACGCGTCCGAACGATTTCCGACACAGCTGAATGTGTCGTTGCTGAGTGTTGTGATGTTTTTGTCGCGGATCACGATGCGCCGCTCCTGAAACGAGGCTTCGCGGTGAATGTTGTCTCTATGGTGAATTCTCTCCATTGGATGTTTACAATCGCACTGCAAGACTGGCTCAACCGTTCAACGTCGGTTAATCTGTGGTCAATATCAATTAATTAGGGTAGACTCTGAAACCACGATTGAAGTAGAATTATCTCTGGCATGGAAAGTTGAGAGAGAATAATGCTATTGCCTACTCTGAGTCATCTTTATCCATAGCTCTGGCGTTCACCATTCCTCACCTTCTCTAGCACCTGGATGACGCTGCTGCAGTTGTCGATGGACCCGGCACTGTTTCCCGGCAGTTCACCCAGCTTCTGTGCCGAAAGTGGCAGAACGGCTAGAAGAACCAACAGTAACAGCCTCGTCCTCACATCTTGGTCTGCAAAGGAAAATGAAAAAATAACTAGATCAATTACGGCACGATTTGATAATCATCACCCGTAAAAAATACTATGAAAAATGGCCTACATAGGTTGTTGATACAGCGTATGCTCGTGGATGTGTTACATTGCAGCCCGATTTGCATTCATTGAATGCGATCCGGCATAGGGGCAAGAGTGGGTCTGCCACGATACCCCTTTCTCACAGAAGAGCTACTTTACTATCGCTAAATACATCCGTCAACTGAGGGGCTACACCAGCGCACCCAGTTTCCAACCACGATAGTTAATAAACAGTACAATATCTTGTATCATGGCCACTTTGGGAACGTTTTAAAATGTGTCGCCCGCACATCTTATGGTGCGGACCGCAGGACGCTCCTTCTTTTATATCGGTCGATCGTCCGATCGAAACTGGATTACGCATGCTTTGTTTACGACTCTGCCAGCGAATCCAGTAAAAAGGCTCTTGACTCCGTGCACCACGCGGCGCTACGTGTTGCCACAGGTGCATTCCGCACGTCGCCCAAGAGCAGCCTCCTCGCCGAGGCACACGAACAGCCACTATCTCTCCGCCGTCAGATGCTGGGGATGAGGTACGCACTGAAACTCCGCCAGTTCCCAGGACATCCGACGTATCCGTACGTCTTTTCTCCTGATTTTAATGGTCTTGACAGAGTGCGACAATCGGTCTCCTTCGGATTGCGCATAAAAGAGCTCTTTTTTACAGTCAACATAGAGTTCCGTGAAGTGCGACGTACGTGGGGTACGCCCTCTCCGCCATGGAAATACGCTCCAGCGCAAGTAGACCTCACGCTCTCTGAGGTCAAGAAGGACGACCTACCGCCATGTGTGCAACGAGCACGGGCATTGGAACACATTGCGTCATACGACGGTTTTATCTCGGTGTTTACAGACGGCTCGAAAACGGAGGACGGCGTCGGCTGCGCTTTCGTGGCTGGTCGCGACACGCGCACTTTTTCATTGCCTTCCTCTGCCTCCGTTTTCTCATCCGAGCTCGTTGCAATCGAGAAGGCGTTGTGTTTTATCGAGGTGTCTGACAACTTGCCTTACCTCATTTTATCGGATTCTCTCAGCAGCCTGTTGGCTATACGGAGGTTCAACCCAGACAATCCGATAGTCCAAGACATTTTATCTCGGCTCACGTCGGTGGAGCAGTCAGGCAAAACTATTAAGTTTTGCTGGATTCCAAGCCATGTGGGTATAACTGGCAATGAGCTCGCCGACGCGGCCGCGAGACGCGCGGCCGCGGCTCCATGCCTTCGGCGTTTGCCCCTGCCGGCTCGTGATTTTTACCCAGCCATCCAAACCTTCACGATGTCAAGCTGGCAGGCAGAGTGGCATCTCCAAGGATCTGGGAAGCTGCGGAGCGTGAAGCCTACCTTGGAGCCCTGGCAGTCTTGCTTCCAAAGCAACAGGCACCAGGAAGTGGCCCTCTGCAGATTACGTATTGGTCATACGTACGCGACTCACGGCTATCTCCTCCGTGGAGAGGAACAACCCACATGCAGTCGGTGTGCCGTGCCTCTCACTGTCTCTCACGTGCTTTTATCTTGTCCTCTCGCTGAACCGAACCGGACACGCTATCTCGGGCGCATCGCTCCGGATACCACTATCCGCCACCTTCTGGGTGACGACTCACCCTGGGTTTTATCCGGCAACATTTTTTCCTTTATCCGTTCGATCAACTTCCAAGCGATTTACTCGACCTGACATTAAATCCAACTAGTCCTCTCTAGTCCTTACATCTAGTCAGTTGTCTAGGACGACACTCTTGCGCTGCTTTATCTTACCTTGCTGTTTTATATCGAGTCTTTTACTTTTTAGTCTTCGTATCTAGAAGGTTCTCTCTTTTGACACACTTGTTTTATTAAAACGACGTTATGGGCGCAAAATGACCTAAGTAGTCGGCGCGCCCTAAAGCCCCAATTAACAAACAAACAAAGTATACACTGTCAAAGCCTTAAATGACCGTACTCACCGAACATGGCGCTGCACTCTCAGGTCCGCTCTTTTCCCTGGAATCCTAGTCTCCAGGCCTTTGGTCTTCGTCTTCTCTGGTCCGTTATGTCCCGTCACATTATAATGTCTTGATAAAAATGAAAGAGATGGTCTGTCGTCTCAGCCCACTCCACTCTCGTCAGCCTCTCGCGCTCGGCACAAAGACTGTGGTGTCAGTAGGCGCTCCCTGCCGCCGAGGTCTGGTCAGTTGCGTCGCGGCGGACGGCGGCGAGGGGCGCCGGCCGTGCGCGTATCGGCCTGGCGTCCGGCCCGCGGCCCCGCGACGTGAGCTTCCTTTCGCTGCTGCTATCGGTTCCACGTCAGCGGTAGGTCACACTGACCTGGCTGCAGCGCTGGCCGCGGGGAAACACCGGGCTGGGTGGAGTTCAGTCGGCGCTCTTCCTGCTCTGTGTGTGGTGTATTGTATTGTGTACCTATTTTGCATTGTTAGGTTCTGTGTTGTCGTTTTTATTGGTTACTCCTGCACTCTGTGTATTGATTTTTTTTTGCGAGAGTCACCTGCGCGGAGCATGCCCTTTTGACAGGCTAAGCCTAAGTTTTCGAATATTCCATTTCTATACGCGTGCTACAGGTATGCCTGTAAACGTGCTACTGGTTCTATATGTAGGTCTGCGTTTAGATGCTAGTTTCGTGGTCGGTGGCCGTATGTTTTTGCCTTTTCTTTTCCTTGATAAGGAGTGCTGAGCCGATTTCAACAAATCATTACAACGAATATCGTGTATTCAAACGACAACAACTCTTTTCCACCCCATTAACTATATGTTACATATGTGGCAGTCACCTCACACTGAACAAAACGCACGCACCCATACTCGCACCCACATGCCATGTGACATCGTGGCATCGAAACGCCGCCTCCCGTGAAGCTTGTGACTTCATTGTCCAACTGTGACAACAAAACGAGAGCGGAGCACCGAGCCTTGGCGCAATGCATTGTATGTGCTCCATTTTGCTCGATTGACTCGACTGGTTGGCACCATGAGGGACTGGTCAGCACTCAGCACGCTCCGATCTAAACGCGTGTTCACTTTCACTCGTGCCGATCACTTTTATCCTGCCACCTTTTCACACCATTGCCGCTCGTTGGCCTCACCAATATGTCTGCACACAGTCACCTTTACCAACAGGGTAGGTCCATTGCTCAAAAGCGTTCTGTCCTCGCCTGCATCGCACTAGCGCCGCACTTCTATGTAGAAAACAGTGACTGACTGGGAATCCAGGAAAGCAATCGAATGCTCTGCGTCATTCATTTTAAGATAATTCTTCGAAAGTTTTAGACTACCTATAAGTTTGCGTATGTACCCTTATGCGGTTTTCGGAGTGCTCTGGATCTTGATCAGCGAGCGCAGTGACGACGTGTTTTGGTCATCATCCGCTATCTGGCTTTTATCGGACGGCCTGGTCACTCTGACTGCTGGGCGATTGGCTAGTCCTAATTAACTTCAAATAAGCTAGCTGAACTGCTGCGATCATGCACGCAGTTCCTCCACCTTATCTCAATCTTAACCTCGAGTCTATTATATTTGCGTGTTGTGCAGGTTTCCGTAGATGTGCCTGGCTGTTCCGGGCTCGTCCTCTGTGACTGGCCACTGCTGGTTGGCGTAGACCGGCTCTTGGTCGCCCCCCAGCCACTTGTCTTGGTTCTCGTAGACCGGTTCGGCCGCGGAGGGCGGCTGGGCAGCAGCCCGTCTCGGCTCCCGTCGCGGCTGCTCCCGACTGGGTGGCGCCTGCCGGTCCTTAGCGGGCCGCGTGGGTCGGGGACTGCGCTGTCTGGCTGGCTGCGCCGCCGGATCCGGGGCAGGGCTCGGCAGGAACCGACCCCGCTGCTGCTGCGGCGTGCCGGTCGCTGCCTGACGGGAGGGAGTCTGGACTGGGTAGGCCGCGTACCGGCCGTCGGCTGACCTGGAAACGCAGAGAGAACATGGAGCTGAACATGGAGGGAGTTGTGGAAAACGCGTTGATTGGTGCGGCGGGGATGTAAAGTCCACA